TGAATGCTCAGGGGTCTCGTAATCCGGCCTCACAGATAACATTTAGGGATAAAACCAGGGCTGGTGTAAAACGAGCATACTGACCTTTGACCTTTAGCTTTAACACCGGCAGTCATATGACCCGATAAGGGCATTGTTTATGGCTGTTAACCTTGTGAATGTTCCTCAGGCTGGAAAATATCCTTTTGCTGTATCTAAGGATATATAATAAAACATTAGGTACATAATTACACACTTTCAGCAGCTATTATTTATTTTCTAAACAACAAAATCTTTTAAATGCTCAAAATGTCTGTTCTGCGAGAATCTTTTAAAAAGGTATAAATAACCTGAGATGAACCAATACAGGATCCTGTATCCTACACACACAGACACTGTGCAGAAGAAAGGAGGCGTGGCTAGACTTCATATGCTTGCATGGAGCTTTCCAGGACAGAAAAATGCTTCATTTATATTCATATGTATACATTTGCATGCATTTGTATATGTGATAATGGAGTGAAACAGCATGCGATTCGCTAATCTGAAAAACTCTAAACACAACAGCCCTCTTGTGGAGCCTGCACGTGTGTAAATGAGACTTTGTATTTGCGGGTTTGCAGACAACTTGTGTCCACACCAAAGTGTTTGTCTTATTAAGGGTTAAATGAAATCGAGGGAACAGAGGGAAAAAGTGATGGTGAGAGAGATCAGGGGCTGTAAATGCAAATGCATACATATGTCCATATATATAAGTGTGGGTGTGGGTATATAGAGGTCCGTCTGGCTCCCATGGTTCAGTCTTCAACTCTTTCTTGCTCGGTTGCCACCTCCCCCTTTCTCTCTCCTCCTTCTTTTCTGTCTGTCTCTCTCCTTCTCCTCTCCACTGACTCAAGCGCCACCTCACTTCAGTTATAGTAATAGCAGAGTCACTCAGCTTTGAACACTTGTCAACTGTCCCTTTAACTTCAAGTGTCAGGCTTCAAATTTGTAAAATCATTCTTTTATATGAAATATGGAGATTATGTGTGATGAGTCATTTTATATCATGGTACAGTTATCTTTTGCTTTTCGAGAGATCAGATCACTTTAAACATGAAATTGGATAAACTTAACGATCTAGTTTTTTCCAGATTAACTGTGAAAGTTTTTTTTCCCTTGTTAATTAAAACAAAACATGGTCTGATTCCAACATTGTCATTTAAGACACTTTTATCCAAAGCGAATTAAAAATGAGGACAAACCCAAGCAATTTATCATCCAAAGGCCAAAGATATTAACAGTGCTGCAGTTTTGCAGAAGTATAAGTGTGGAAAAATAGAAAAGATAATTGGAAGTTGGAAGCTCATTCCACCACAAAATAACAGAAAGAGTGATCAAACCAAGTGTTTTTGCTCATTCAGGTATCCCATGTGACCCATGTCCTTTAGAGGACACAGGTCTTCCAGACCAATGTTGACCTGATTTTCTGTTTATTGACCTGGGCAGACGCTTTGTCTCTATCCATTGATTCCTTTTCCTTTTTTTCAGGGTGGGGTTTCATTTCCTGGCTTTGTGTTTGCAGACATTCTTCAATGGTAACTAAGTTCAGGCCTTCTGTTCATTAAACGCCACAGGCTAGACTGAATGCTAATGAAATCACAGATGTTAGCATTAGCCTTAGAAGAGCAGGCAGGCTTTTGCGGTTACGCTGCTGCTCACAATTTTCCGCATTGCCTTTACTTTTACTTTAATTTACTGTTGAACTATCAACTATCTGCTTCAAGCAACTAAATGTTGACCTCAGACAATGCAACAGTCAGTGACCTACCCTGGTTTATGAAATGTCTGCAAGGCCAGCATCCAATAATTGTCTTGTTGTTTGTTCCTTCGCCTAATAGTTTGTTTCTATGCCTCCTAATTTAGAAACAATATGATGCCAAGACTGACTCAATGGCACCACTTGTATTAGGCATTGTCAGATTTAACACTGTACTTTAACAATTCAATAAGTTACCTGGAGACATGGAAAGAGCGCGATATTTCAAAAAACGTTTGTGAATTTTAAATGTTCCTGGAAAAAAAACTTTAGGGAAAAGTGTGAAATTATGATGCCTTGATCCATTCAATTTGTGTCTCATCATATATGTAAAAAAAAATGAATAAATGAATGGATGAATGAATATATATTTATATGAATATATAAAGAAAAAGCTTTTATACTTTTCGCATGTGCATCTGCGAAAAGATGCACATGCGAAAAGTATAAAAGCTTTTTTTAATTAATATATATAAATAAAGGAAGTCGTACAAGGGAGTGTACTAATATTCCAATAAAACACAATAACAAAAACTGTTGTAATTATTACAGACTTTCACGGAGAAGGTTGAAAATTGTTTCACTAATTTACAATACAGCCTACTGAATATTAAACCTTTCCTTGACTGGATTATGAATATCTAAATAATATGCAAATTTTGACTTTGGAACGGGATTGTGCATTACATTTTTCTTTTTTGAATTATGCAGATAATTTTATTCGAAATATAAATTGCAGATATTGTGTCACTAGACAACTTTTTAAAAAGTCATTCCCATAGCACATTCTATTTCAAATAATAGTTATAAATGCTTCTTTTATCATTTCAAATTATAGCAGAAATCATGACAAATAATTATAGGTATCAGCTTTACTTCTACCTCATTTCTCCTTGCTTGGTGGACATTATGTCAAACGTGTCACAGCTTACTCACCCTCCAATTTGTACAGTGTAAAAAACTTTTACATTGCACTGGTTCTAGAAAGATAAATACACAAAAGAAAAACAGTTTAAAAAATATAAAAAGACAAAAAGATAAATTACAGGGGTCAGGGTCCTGCTGGACTGTAGGGAGGATCTGGAAGAGTCCTTCACCTTCCTAAAATCCTTCTTTTTTTCTGTCTTCCTCTCTCCTCTCTCTCTCTCTCTCTCTGCAGCTGTCTCACAGTGCCACGTAGCTTTCCTGCATTATTAGACAGATGGAATTTACCAACCCTGCACATGAAGCTGCTATTTGCTTTCTTTCCATCTCGTTTCTCTCTCACTTTGTCACCCCCTTCCCCCTCTTCACCTCTCTTTCATTGTATTCCCTGACTCATTCTCCCCTTACACACACTCATATGGTTTGCTTAAACAGTCTCACTTAATTGAATGTAAAGACCTCAAGACTTTGGCAGCACCCTGTCAAATCTGGTCATATTCTAGAGCAGGAACATCATTTGCATCTGCTTTCAACAGGTCAGAAGATATTAAACAAGGACAGATATTTGAGACAAAAAGCAAATAAGCAAATATTCAAGAATGGGGAGATTTCAAATAACAGTTATTAATAGCGTCAAAGTGCCGAAGATAAACAAATCTATTTGTGCATAATACTTCCTAATAGATTGTGTTAACTTATTTGCAATTTATTGTAGAATAACCAGGAGAAATATTTAAAAAGCATGATGTAAAGTTATGTATTGGCGAAGCATTTTTAAAATATACTCTTCTGCCATCTAGTGGTGAATACAACCAAGTACAAGAGTCTTTCACAAGGTAGTATTCTCCTTAATTCTGGACTGAATAAACATGAGCAGGGAGACACTCAATAACTTTCATCCAAACATGTTTGTTTGCAGTGGAAAAAACACACACATTGGAATTGCTGTAAGTGGCGTAGACAGACTATGTAAGTCCCATGTGTGAGAGAGAAAAACAGCCAAGTTCACCTCAGCCAAATTCTGAATAATGTGCTTTTCTTCACTTCAAATCTGGCAAGAATAACCGCAGCCAAGCATTTACCAAGAAAAATATAACGAGCTATTTTCAGAAAAACACTTTTTTCACTATGAATAATGAAAAACATACTGACAATATTTAATATACTTGTCATGATGAATTTCTTGTTGAAAGCTGTTATAGCATGAAATGAGCTGAAAGGTCATGATGAACCACTTTGGCAAAGCAGTGCTGATATAACACTGGCTCAAGAAAGAGATAGTAGACTGCCAGGTTATGAAAATGGGTGTTTTATTTTCAAAAGTAATACACTTAAATGATGAAATACACTTATGAAACATCAGATAAAAACAATGTAATCTCAAAACAACTGTCTTGGGATTCGTCCAAGCAACAGCCCTGTTCTCTCTGGTTTTTAGCAACTAGTCACATTTCAGTGATATAACAGTTATAAAACATCAACACATCTTAGGGAGGTCAAGTAACCCAGGCCTCAGACAATGAAATCCTGTTATATTTTGGCTTTTAATAAAATCAGTTAAGCATCAACAAGAAGGAAGGTACGGAAAAAGGGACATTAGGACTCAAATCTGTGTCCCCATGAGCACAACTGCTCTTTAAAGGGGTCACATGATGCGATTTCAATTTTTCCTTTCTCTTTGGAGTGTTACAAGCTCTTGGTGCATAAAGAAGATCTGTAAAGTTGCAAAGACTAAAGTCTGCTCCGGCCAGACAAGGCATCATCACAATATGGTAAGGGGCGTAACATGAGGTATTCGGCCAATCATAACGCACTGGATAGCTGGCCAATCACAGCACACCTTGCTTTTCAGACCGATGAGCTTTGTAAAAATCGACGCGTTTCAGAAAGGCGGGGCATAGAGGAGAAACAATAATGTACAGTATGTGGAAAACAATGTGTTTTTTTAACCTTAAACCGCATAAACACATTTCATTACACCAAATACACAAAATAAGGTTATTTTTAGCAGCATCATATGACCCCTTTAAGTACTTCAAAATCCTATTTTGTAAAGTTTGTAGATCAGGGCCGGGACACATATTTGTCTTATATGACAGGTTTGCAGTCAATGTAGTTGCCTCGTCAGATTTTCAGACTTTCATCCAACTGAAAGTTCCCCAATTTTCTCTGTCATTGTAACAGATGCTGCTGGCTCTAAATCTTCAGTCCAGACAAGAAAGAAAAACCAAGCTGAGACCTGTAAATTCCACTTCGACCCATATGTTGACCATTTACAGGGATTCCCAATTGGTTCAGTTTAGTAAAATTGCACCACCTGAAAGCCCCTGAGGCAACGGAAGGCCAATGTGTCCAGGTGGCCCAGATCTATCAAGTTATATTCCAGGTGAACCCTGACTAGGCGGCTGAGAGGAGACTCATTGCCTCGACCCCAACAGAAAGCATCACGTGGAATTACACGGATCTTGTTGTGTGAAAATGTTGCAGAGTGGAGCCATAAAGGGAGCTGCCTTGGTACCTGTTGTAAGGCGTTGTGACTCATGTCTAGCTGATGCAGAAGTGGAAGAACCCGGAAGGCACCAAGGGCCACTTTAGTGATCTTGTTTCTTGCTAGGCCTAGGTGCTCCAACTGAGGCATTGAGATAAAAGCATCCTTGCCAATGTTAGAGATGAAGTTTCCCTCCAAGTTAAGGGTCTTTATGCTGCGGGGTAGATGGAGAGGAACTTGCTTCAGTAAGTTGCCCTCTAGATTTAAACTCTCAAGGTGACTGGCATTCAGTAGTGCTGCCTTCCCAAGACCTTTATCGGTCAATCTATTCACACTTAGATCCAGAACCTGCAGCTCCGCCTCACCCCAGAACATGTCGCCTTGGAGGCGTTGAATGCAGTTGCCTCTGAGATAGAGTTCTCGAAGACTGAGGGGAAGCTGCAGGGGAACAGAGGCAAGCTGATTGTAGGAAAGTGTAAGCGTCCGAAGTTTGCCCAAGGGTAGAAGAACTCCTGGAGGGATAGTGGATGATTTGTTCCCCAGGCTGTTGTTGCTCAGGCTGAGGATCAGCAGGTTTGGGCAGCGTCCGAAGGCTGCGTCGGACATCACATTTACCTGGTTCCCATCCAGCCGTAGCTCCTCTAGAGTAACGGGCAGGTCATTTGGGATACTTCGGAGAAGGTTCCGCTCTACGTATAGTCTCTTAAGGCTCTTGATCCCTTTAAAGGAACCCTCGATCGTCTCGTCTGTTAAATGGTTGTTGCTTAACACCAGGAACTCCATGGAGTCATACTCGGAGAGCAACTTCAATTGAATGCTATCTATGTGGTTGTTCATTAAGAGAATGTAACGGGAGTTGTAAGGAATTCCGTAAGGTATTTTGTCCAGATGTTTGTCGGAACACTGCACAACCCTGGAAAAGAGGAGATCATGTTAAATTACAGCATGTAAACTGAATGTTTTCCAGTGCAATACTCAGCAGCATCAGGACCATTCTTAAAGGGATAGTTCACCCAAAAATTGTAATTCTGTCATTAATTACTCACCCTTATGTCCGTCCAAACCTGTAAGACCTTTGTTTTCTTTCAGAACACAAATTAAGATGTTTTTGATGAAATCTGAGAGCTTTCTGACCCCGCATAAACAGCAACGCAACTGACACGTTCAAGGCCCAGAAAGGTTGTAAAGATTTCGTTAAAATAGTCCATGTGACATCAGTGGTTTTTGTACACAACGAAAACAAAAATAATGACTTTATTCTATTAACGATGTCCTTACTACCTTTCTGGGCCTTGAACGTGTCAGTTGCGTTGCTGTCTATGCAGGGTCAGAAAGTTCTCAGATTTAATCAAAAATATCATAATTTGTGTTCTGAAGATGAACGAAGGTCTTACGGATTTGGAATGACAGAATTTTCATTTTTGGGTGAACTATAACTTTAAGCATGTTGGTTTAAGATTTAATAGACACATACCTCCCATAGCAGGAACATTCTGAGGGACAGTAGTGATCTTCAAAATAGGGAAAATACGAAGGTGTTGTTGGTTTCAATTTTCTCTCTCGTTTTAACTTTTTCACTTTCTTTGCTTTTTTCGTAACTTTGGTCTTCTTCGCCTTTACTTTGAGGACCTTTTTTTTCTTTGCTTTCAGTGTCATATTGTCTTTAGGTTTGTTTTTTGATTTGACCATAAAAGTACTAAGAGGAGCCTTTGCAGTGGGTCCTGCCCTTGCTGCCATTGCTGTGACTTTAACACTCACTTCCTCCAATGGGTGGAGTTTAGAGCTGTTCATCACATGGAGCTCCACTCTGAGATCATCATTCGTGCTGCTTTCATTTACTAGTAAGGTGGCTCCGGTCGCCTCAGCAGTTGAATTCCCAATATGAAGTTTTGTGGTTATGATAGACAAGGTTTCAGTAGTTGCTGCTGGTCCTTGTGAAGTGAAGGGGAATGAGGAAGGTACAGTAACTGATTTTGTAAGCAAGTTCAGGACAGGTTGGGAGGCAGTGGCCATGGTAGGAGGAGTGGCATTCTGATTGTCAGTTGGAGGTAGATGTTCCTCACCCTCAATTTCTTGTGAATGGCTGGTATTCTGTGCAGTAAGGATGGGTTTGGTTAAGATTACCTCTGACATGTCGTGTTCATCCAGATTCTGTCCTTGCTGCTCCTCGTTTTCTGCTACTACTTTGCTTTTTACATCAGTTTCTCTTGTTTGTTCCACCCTTTTTGTTATCCTCATACCATGTTCTTCAACTGTGTCCGTTTCTTCTTCCGCCTCTTGCATTGTGACCTCTTCCTCACTTCTTTTCTCCTCTTCAGTGTTGAGAGCCTCCATCAAACGATCAAATCTCTGCTCTGCCCAAAGATCACCTTCTGCAGATACATTCTGCATGACTGTCACATTTACACCTATAAGAGGTAATAAACCTTTGTGAACTTAATGAACACAAAATCACCCTCATAACTGATGATTCATTTGCTTTTAGGAAATTTGCCAACTGTAATACATAAGTTACATGATTAAAAGACTGCACTGTGAGTTAGGGACATTACGGACAAACTACACTTATTCCATAATACAAACACATTTATTTATGAATTGAACAATTTGTGTTTATTATTTCATCTGAAACATTCTGTACTTAACCTTAAAAGACAGACTTAAAAATATTAAGTAAAAGCAATAATTTAATCATAAGTAATTAATAATTTAAATAATTTAAATTTAAAGAACACTTACTCGGCTGAAGCACAAAAGTGTGTCCAGACACAACGAAAATCCAAAACAGCAGCATGAGGGGCTTCATTTTTGGCTAAAATGGCTAAAGAGAAGAATACAATTTTCTAATTAACGTGAAAAGCAGATTGTTACAAATTTATTTGTCTGCTGTAAAAGTCTGTGGCGATCAACCAAGCTCCCGGAGACTGAAATAAAATACTCATGATTTTCTAAATGGCTGGCCTGACAACCACAATAAAAGGTGCCAGGAAGCATCTGAACCGGTTTTCATTTACAAGCCATAACTGATCGTGTGAGCAATAAATCCAGATCTTGATATTTTTTTAATGAGATCGGCCCGCCAGGCACAGCTTACCTGGAATGTGTTCAAGGTGAGTATGTGGCGTCCTTCAGATGTTTAAGTCCTTGTACTCTGCAGATATGGAAGACATGCTGGCTTCCTGTGTTGCATAGACTGTCTCTACACACGACTGAGACTGACACACATACACAAACAAATAGATGCGCATCCGGACTAATGGACCCATTTAAAGACTCTCCTTCTCCCTAATGCAAATTCCACATACACGCTCAGAAAAATTATACACTCTTGAGTAATAGCTCTCTTCAAAGACACTTATCATTACGGGAATTTTCTCGCTCACACACTAGATCCAGAAAAATCTAACGTATCAATTCAGGGGAATGGAGATAGACATAGTGGATAGAAAGGTCAAAGGTCAGGATTCACTTTAGGATTGACACTATTTGCTTTACTTTCACAAATACTGGTGCCGACTCACTGGCACCACAATGACAAGTGTTTCCCTAAAAGGGTCTGTGGCCTTTGACCTTACAACAGGTTCGTATTTAGTCACATGCGAGCTGTGTGAGGTGGGACAAAATGTTTGGATGAAGAAAGTTATATTCAAGACGGAGATTTCAAATGTTCTAGAATCTGTCATTGCTAAATCCATTTTGTTCCATCACTAATCACGAATTTCATTGTAATAGATGTAAAACCTTTTCTTAGAACTTTCTTCACTTTTCTGAGGCATTTTTGCAAGCCACTGCCTAATTCTGACTCCAGATGTAACTTCAATCAGAGTGTGAGGAAATAAAAAGATGATTAAAAGATGATGTTAACTGTCACCACCAAGCAGCAGGAGAGGAATGCGTGAGCTGGCAGGGAAACAGATATTTGGACAGAGAGTTTCACGGTGTCTGCATAAAAACTTTATCAGATCACGTCAGTACTAGTTTATTCTGACTCAAATTCGTCTAGATTTTTTGAAAAATATTTAATGTTTGAATTCAATTAGGAGTTTTCAAACTTTTGGGCTCCCCAATGTGATGATATGAAGAAACGTGTATATTTTAAGATTCATTTATGTAAAAAAAGATATTGAGATATTGTTAAGACATGGTGTTTAAAAATGTAATAATTGCCATTATTTTGCACTGTACTAACCAAAAAATATATATATTATCGGAACAATAGTTTTACTTCAAATGAATTCATGAATCTAATTTATCTGTATAATACTTCACAATACAAATTGGCCATTTTCACAATAATATTTTTTCCCTTTTAATTTTTACACTTTTTCCATCTGACATTTTCCATGTACCCTCTAGCACCCGCTTAAAGCCCCCTGGAGACCAGTTTGAAAACCCCTACTCTAAATCACTGCCATAAAGACAGGTATTTCTAGCTGACTAAATAAATGACCAACCATGTAGTCCCTCACAGCCTGACAAATGTCTTTCACATTTGTGAAATCTGTTTTCACTATGCCCGAGTCTTGAAATCTTGCATTTTTCTTCAGTGGAATTGTGTTTCCAGTTAGGCCTGTCACTGGGCTCTCTCAAAGTATTATCAATCCGTAGCCTACAAGAAAGATAGAAGACACCATAACATCATGTTGGTGATGTAACTTGTATAAATAATCCACATTCATTAAAATCTAATGCTCCAAGTGGCCCTAAATGACTTGAATGGTCAGCACAACAGTATGACAGAGTGAAAAACAGCTTGTGTCTTATAGATCAAAGACGGTTATTCTTTAATATCCCTTTGAGTTTCAATGAAAACAGCAGTCTGCACGCATTTCTTTTTAATGAGGATTAGACTAGGCCTACATTACAAAACGCATCGGAAATACTTCAATATATACACATCACCTAAAACACAGTGAGTACTGTGTATTAAATATACACTATATTAAAATATATAGACATATATTAAATCATTTAATAAAAGTTATTTTTTAAAATATTAGTATTATATTATACATAAAAAGAAAGCATTTTCGCCCCCAAGTGTAGGCATTTTTTTTAAATAGATGAAGTTTTAAAAGAAACCACCAGGGGACATTAGAGGACCATTTAACATTTCAAATGTTCACCATTCCATTCCACACCACTCCATTGTGTTATGTAAGAATTTAGGTTAGAAGTGTATATAGAAGCGGATTCTTTCTCCAACAAACTTTTCCAGCTACCTGTTTATAAAGTGCTACTGGCATCAGCGCACGTAAACACAAAATACAATAGGACACAGAGAAATGTGATTCTTTATCTTTGGTGTCACTACTATCATTCTGAGATCTAGATGGACAGAATGAGGGAACGACACAGACTTGAGAAAAGAAAGGATAATGTTAGTCTTACTATATCTGCTGGGATGAGGAAAGAAACTGGGGCAGCTTGTCCCAGACAGACCACCTGTTTGGAAAATGGCAACAGGGTGGGAGTAGAAAAAAAGGTTATTATTTCAAATACAACTATAAGAAGAGCTTCTATTAGGCCTAAAAATGATGTAATATATCTGAAAGCTGCATTTTCAGGCCTTATACCATTATTGCTTCTCATTTAAGATGGTGTCAATGGTAAACCCTTTACATTTGTTGAAAGACACCGATGACACAGCTAGACTCAACACTAAACGTTTTGTTAGCTCTCTTTTGTGCATGTGCTAAAGCTGTAATGACGCATACCTGGTCAGGAGACAGCTGAACGGCCAGCTGTCCAATTACATTTGCTCAAAGGACTGTAATTTCAACACGGCTTGTTGTTTATGAATGTAAATATCCTAAAATTAAAGTAGACAGTCTGTACTTTAACCAAACAGCGATGAAGTCAAAGAGAGATAATAGAAACCTCATGGCTGATTTTCCAATTCCAATTTAGACCTGAAACAAAAGCAAATGTTTTAGCCTTCAGATGGACTAATTGATTGCACTTTGTGTGTGAGTGTGCGCAGACTACATAAACACATATGTATCAATCCACTCGATAACCAACCCAGCATTGCGAGGAAGTTTACACTAGAGCTTGCTATTAAATGTGTACCCCGAAGGTTAACCAATCATTTAGACTCATGTGGGGGAATTCACTAAAGCCCAGTGTATACTTGACACGAACACTCAGTGTATGCGTACAGCCAAACGCATAAGCCCAAAGTATACTTCAGTTCTGGCACGATGGTGTAGCATTAGCATACAGCCAACTGCATAAGCCTAAAGTATGCTTCAGTTTTGATGCAAACTTTTAGTCTATGCATACAGACAAACACTTAAAGGGATAGGCCTAGTTCACCCAAAATTTTAAAGCTAAATAAAGTGCATTAATCCATCATAAAAAGTACTCCACACGGCTCCAGGGGTGAATAAAGGCCTTATAGAGTGAAATTTTGATGCATTTGTGTAAGAAAAAGATCCATATTTAAAACTTTATAAACTGTAATCTCTAGCTTCCGCTAATTGTCGTACGTGCATTAATGAGAGAGTGGCGTTTTAGCGGATGATGTAAGTGTGGCGTAAGCTCTGGTGAAATAACTCAGTCTCCTCTTGGCTTATATCGAAATCCTCAGACATTTTTCTTCACAAAGCCAAATGCATAAACCCAAAATATAATTAAGTTTTGATGCAAACGCGTAGAATATGTGTACAGACAAATGCATAAGCCCAAAGTTTACATCAGTTCTAACACATGCTTAGTGTATGCGTATAGCCAAATGCATAAGCCCCCACTACAAAAAATAATTTTGGTCGTTTTCTAGTATAAATATCTTAGAATTATTGAATCAGGATGCATTTACTGGACAAGTAAAACGCTTATGATATTATGTCTTGTTTTCTGAAAAAATTACCCAAATTGTATTAGTTTTTGCTTAAAACATGCAAAAATATCTGCCAATGGGGCAAGAAAAATAATCTTGTTTAGCCTTTAATTTAAGATTATTTTTCTTACCCCATTGGCAGATATTTTTGCTTGTTTTAAGCAAAAACTAACAAAATTTTGATGTTTTTTTCAGAAAACAAGACATAATATCTTAAGTCATTTTACTTGTCAAGTAAATGCATCTTGATTCAAGAATGTTTATATTTATCATAGAAAACAAGACAAAAATACTAAGAAAGAAAATCATTTTTTGCAGTGCAAAGAATAATTCAGTTCTGATGCGAACGCTTAGCATACCTGTGCAGCCAAATGCAATCCAATGTATACTTCAGTTTTGATGCAAACTCTTCGCATATGCGTACAGCCAAATGAATAAACCCTAAAGTATACTTAAGTTTTGACGCAAATATTTGGCATACACACACAGCTGAATGCACAGTCTTTTAAAATAGGACTGCATGAATTGGGGAAAAACTAAATGACTATTTTGCTCATTCAAGGTGCACTGATTCAGTGCATCAGTGCTTTATTAAACCACACTGGGTGAATAAGATGCAGAGTTTTGTGCTTATAACACCATGAACAAACATATCACAACAGTTTACTGAACATAAAGTGATGGACAAAGTCCAATGTTAGAAAGTCCATAAAGGCACCATGATTCTTATTCTGGATCCTGTCGACCTTGGGTGTATCAAAGCTTAGTGGTATTGACCTTATACGCTGAGGAACACCTGGGTCTGAGTAATTTAACCACCAAGGACGTGCTTTCTGGTTTCACACACAGCCTGACTGGAATGTGGTATTATTTTCAATGGAAATAGTCAAGTTTCAGCTGAAACTAATGATGCTTACACTGAAAACAGAAAGGAAAACCGAGAACAGAGTGAGAACACAATGACATTGACTGAGAATAGGATATCTCCTCCCCTCAACCACAGACCCATCTGTCTGCTGGGGGTCAGGGATTTGAAAGGTCATAGGTCGCAGACAGCGATCAATTTGTGTGTCACACTCATACAGTACAGAGCGAATGAACTTTATGCTTGTCTTATCTTTATACACATAAAACCTTATAAATTTTCCAACCGTCTGTCGCTCTGATGCCACTATGGGACAATCTGTCTACTGCCCACGTCTCTGATAGAAAAGCCTGTGTAAATGTTTAATCACAGCTCACTGCTAATTCTGGCTCGGTCTCACTTCCCAGAGCCGATTACCAAAAGATATGTGAAGTAGCAGTTGGACGACCCGATTTTGAGA